ACTTTAAAAAACAAAATAGACTAGAAATTTGCATGTCTTGTATTAAAGCTCAAGGATGTTTTTAGTTTTAGAACCAGTATGTTTAAATTTACCAGAACAATGACAATATGCATTATTTGTGTACCAATAAATATTAAATGTTCTTACCAATCCAGAAGGAATTGTACATCATCTTTTGCCTTATGTAAGCTAATTCTTCATCTGTTTCTATGACAACCAAGTCACTATCAATAGTATCATGGCAATCATCTCTTCCCTCGTCCCATGAGGAGTTCCTAGGCACAAACTTATAGCAGTGTTCCCCAGGACCAAACTCATAACCACTGGGACCTAAACATAATGGAATCAGAGTAGATCATTAAGTTGTATCAAATAGATATTTATTGATACTGGAATAAAGAAAACCTATCACCACATGCCACCTCTTTGAGGACATATGTTACAAGCAAATATATACCAGTACTTATAATAGAAATACAATATATACAAGTCTCGTATATTTTGGATAATTATACATACATCTACTGGACGATGTAAATTTTTGTTTTTTTATCATCACATCTAACACATATTTTCTAGTGTTTCTGATTTTTACTTACATTCCATTGTGTATGTTAGATTAAAACCACGCCTTGATATTGACATATCACTCTGAAAACGCAACCACACTTTAGCAGACCGTATTTCAAGAGTCTCTGGAGTTTCATAACCAGTTAAAACCTACAAACACGAAACAAACAAAAAATAAGAATAGAATAGACTAGAATAGAATAGAATAGAATAGAATAGAATAGAATAGAATAGAATAGAATAGAATAGAATAGAATAGAATAGAATAGAATAGAATAAAATAGAATAGAATAGAATAGAATAGAATAGAATAGAATAGAATAGAATAGAACTTTTCTATCACAACCAAAATACACTAAAATCTTCTTTTTTTTTTTAAAGTTCAATATAAAATTTGTGTTGTGTCTAGTGTCCATACTGTAAATAAATTACATTATAAATTATACATACAAATATCAACATATCATTAAGGGTTTAGCCAATTCCTACCACTACACCACAATTATAATGTTACAAGATGGGGAGTTTTAGATAAATATGCACAACACATATTGATTAATAAAACATCAAAATACTTTGCAAACTCACCCAATCCGGATCACTATCTGGATCATCCCCAACTCCAATAAGTAAATTGTCATATCTATATTCCAAATTGAAATCATTGAATACCATGGTGATCTGAGCACTAAAGTCGTCATCATCATCGCTGACGTCAATAATCCATATGCAGTCAGAGTTGTGTGGATATGGACTGTCATACATAGGTGATAAGATAGTTCCTGATTCATCAGTCAGTGTTTCTGACGAACACCCATCTGAAATAGACAATTTATTAAATTTGAAGCCAAGGTAAAGTTTCATGTAAAATAACTGACTGGCACACTCTCATAATCACTATTCTACATGAAGTAAAATATTCGATATACCACAATGTGTTTAAAGAATTTTAACTGACCCCTGATGAATATATGGGAAAAAATATTTTCACCAGATTTGATTTTTTTCTTATTTATTTAGCAAAAATTAAAATTTTCAGTGAAAAACAAATACATCTACATAATACTACTGACAGGTGCATTTTTATATGAACTTAAATCATTTGGTTTGATACATACCATCTAGATATTCAATGACAAAACCTTGATAGTCATTTCGTGAACAATCACTAGAGAAGGTCATCCACGCATCATCTGACGAAATAGTGTAGTATTCAATTTGTCTTTCTCCTGACATGTGCATAAGTCTTGTTGACAAGTCAATGGAGTTTAATCCTGTTCCAATGTCTACCCAGTCATAATTCCTCTCTATGAAATGATACATTTGGAAATATATAATATTATTATACATCTGTCAGCATAACCCCGTAAGTTACAGCGTAAGGCAATGAAACACTTTCTACAAATATTCAAGATGACTAGAAAACATCTAAAAATGAACATGAACTATTTCTTTCATAGACTCTTTCATAACAATATGTTTTTAACTCTGCTGTCATCAAAGATTACAGGCAGAGCTATTGGTATAGGTGATTGTCATCACCATCCTGTTCTCAAACAACTTCTTCTTGAAAACTGTTAACTCCATTGCTTTTATACATGTACCTTGTACATATGTTTCTCGGGTTGATTTCTATGAGATTTGATCATTTCGTGACAATATCTTCAACCCTCTATTCTTGGTCCAAAATGTTTTTTTGTTTTTTTACTTCTTCTAGACAACTTTTACTTTGATGGATGGATCTACGAGATTTGAACATTAATAGTAAAGATATTTTTAATTCTCTAATTTTATTGAATAATTTTATCCTTTTTGGTGAAAATGCTATTTTTGACTTTTCAAAATGATTTTTATTGCTTTGGTACTTGGCGTATATGTGTAACTTGGGTGAACCTCTATTGGATATATATATTTCGTGACAAAATCTTCAATTCTGTAATTGTAGCAAATAACATTACCATTTGTAAAAACATCTTTAACACTGTATTTACCTGTTTGAAATTCTTGGATAACAACCCTTATATTTCTCCCAGTTTCAGCTGTAACTCTCCATTCGCAGAACATATTGTGATCATAGATATCCGGGTAATATGGTGATCTGATTGACACACTACCACCAGCTGGTATCGGATAGTACATGGTTTCTTCACAATCTGAAAAATATCATGAAAACCACAAGTGAAGATAAATATGAACAGTGAGTGATATTTTACTTGAAAAACTGTAAAAGATGGTCATAAGTAAAAAATGAGGGAATTTTAAAAGAATTACAATTGTATTGAATTCTTGATAATTTATTGAGAAGTTTCATCAAATAAATGAGAAAAGGCAATTAAAAATCAGGAGCGCCTAATACTATCTTGTTTTATAGCCACTTTGCAACAGGAAAAAGACAAAAAATTGTGGAAAACTGCACATTAAATATCATATAATGATTTTCTGCTATTACAATTATTGAGACAGACACAATTTTTCAATCTTACCGATTTCTTCTCGTAATTGAATATGAAATCCTCTATATGCAACACTTTGATCAGTAACAAATCTCATCCACATTTCACTTGTATGGGTAGTAAAAGGAGATGGAAGTCTACGTCCCGAGTGTTTATCAGTTCTTGAGAATCTATCCGTCAAATCAAGCCCGTCTCCAAGCTCCAAGTAGTCAAATCTATGAGAAGTAGACTTAGGATATGTAAATAACCAGCCACAGCAAAAATAAGATTTGAAAAGATTATTCTAATTCTTCATTGTTCTCTACAGAGTTCATATACTTTGAAGACAGAAAGTCCTTCCATAAAGATTCAGATTAAAAGTATATTTAGTAACACAGGTATAAGGCAGTGATTATTGTACACCCCATCTTTTAATTTTGAGTAAACTTTGCTATTAATGTGTCACAGTTGTCATGTTGCGTTGGGTTCAATATTTTGGGTCCCATGTGATGTACCCAAAATGTATACCTCAAGTGAAATACATTGTTGACATAGTTCAAACAGGTTTCACGGGTGTGAAACAAATATGGTGCTTAATTATTTTACTGCTTCCTAAAATCTGGTATTTAATTTTTACCTTCTTTCTGTGTAGAAATCTATATATATAACCCTTATTCTTCTTCCATATGTAGTTGTATTAACTGTCCATTCACAAAGTTCATTATGTGGGTAGTTATCAGAATAGTACGGGGATGTGACATTAACATATCCTGCTGCTGGGAGCTGTATATGACCACCACATTCTGGCAATGGTTCTGGTGTTGTGATGACCGGCTCAGTCGGTTTAGGTGGACTGGATTCAGCTAAAAAGAAATGAATCACAATGTTATTGAAGAGTCTCACAAGACACAAACAATTGTTATTGCTGCAAACTTTGCAAAGTATCACAAGATGCAGACCAATTGATATAAAGATTGCTGTATACAATCATCTCAAGAAAAATCTGTGATGCTGAAGTAAAGTCAGCAGTTAAGAAAACAGATAAAAAAAAAAACCAGTTTGAGTGTGATAATATTTAACAATAGTTTAGCTGGCTGTGATTGAGCTTTACATGCATTCATAACTACCATATAAACTGGGCATGATAATCTGCCTAAATATGTCAGCTGAAAACAGCTTGAGAGATGAATTATGCTCAGACTGTACTGTAGATAGGAAAGTGGTAAAGACACATGATGCATTATGTAATCCAATCTGCAATTCTGGAGCAAAATCAATAAATCTCATCCAAAAATCATAGAAAAACGTGAGTAAATCACATGTAAAAACATAATTTTGGTTTTTAGGGTTTTTCAGCCCACAATTTCATGTCACTAATATAAAAAGTATATATAATAAGATAATTGGATCGTAAGTCTATAACTGTACGTTTTAGCACCATCAGTACTTACTATCATTGACTGCTTCTAACTGAAGAAGGAATCCACGATGTACAACAGTATTATCAGTTATGAAAGTCAACCATAGATGAGGTCCACTTGAAAGCTGAGGTGATGGAATTCTCTGACCAGAATGGCGAAGGATCATGGTAGAAAGGTCATCAGTATTCAGACCATTACCCATATTTACCCAATCGAATGCAAGTTCAGTTGCAAAGTCACGGAAGTTGGCAAAGATTAACATTCCATCATCTGCAGTGAAGTTCCAGGAACAGTGTTCATTGTTGTAATAGTCAGAAGGGTAATTTGGAGACTGAATGTACAATATGGAGGCATACTTCACATAGTAACTTCCACCACATGGCTTGGCAATCAATGGATCTGTAAAAATAATTAATATGATAATAAATCTGTGACTGATACTACTGGTAACTCTGATAGAGAAACGCAATGCAATTATATCAAAGTGTCTAATATATTATTAACTGAGGGCTCTCATTGCAAAATAATGTCATACAACTATGCTTACCTTCCATGATTTCTTCATATTCAAGCCGGAATCCTGCTCCATCCCCAGACAGGTCAGAGTTGAAGCGTAACCATGCCAAGTGATTGTTGATAATGATGTCCTTTGGGATTTCATCACCTGTTAGTTCCTGCAATTGGAATTATAACAAAATGATGATCAGTAGACCCAAGTTCAAATCCTACCTTAGGCTGAACATCAACCCCTACCCTGGGTGAGTGTGCCACAGACTCAATAGGAAGGCGAATTCTACTAGTCGAGAATCATCCACTAACGAATGTGACTTTGGGGAACCTTAGTTAAGGTCTGCAGGTGCTTGTGTTCGATCAAATCTGGTTGACGCCAAGATAGCACATTAAATGGTCATTTGATAGAGAGATTGCCGCACAGTCCTGTCATGTAGTTCCAAACATAATTATAGATTCTGTGGCTAAAATGCACTATGTGTCAGCACAAGCACTTCAATTTGCAAATGCAAAAAAAGTCAGGAGAAACAGGGACATTCAATGTCCAAAATTGTGGCCTGGCACAGAGACATTTTGAAAAACATAACAAAAATAATTACATGTAATCACTGGTCTAATCAAATAGGACAATGAAATATATATGAAGGTCAATAAATATATCAACAAATATTCCTAAAACCGTATACTTTCTAGACGTTACCTCAACACATGTGTTTACAACGCTGAAACTAGCAGGATGACTGAAAATAATGCAACAACCATTAAATTGAAGAGCAAAATGAATGGAACATGGGTGTTGCATGCCATCCAGTACTTTATCTGTAATAATTTGAGAATTTACTTGCAATGACCAAATCATTCTGCTCTCTGATGGTAAAGCCAAACCAAGCAGAATACTTACAGCAACTGTGTGAACACCAGGCACATCACCTTCTCCAATATACAGGTAATCATAATTTTCTTCTAATTCAAACTCAACAAAAGTCATTTGGATTATCATAGATGAAGACACTTCAATTGTCCATATACAGTCACTGTTATGTGGATATAGTCTTGGGTAGAATGGAGAGGTCACATGACCACTGGGAGCCACAATGGTTGCTCCACATGGGTCAACTAAAATGAATGAAAACATTGATAGTCAGATATCATCAAATTGACAGTAACTGTGTAAATTTAATATCAAGTAAAAATTGATTTTTTAAAACTTTTTAGTTATGTGTGATTGAAAGAAATCATTGATAGTGAAATTGATTGATTTTGGTTTTGTGTGATGTGATGCATAATTTAGAGTAAAAAGAAACAGGTTCAAATCATAATAATCTCACCAAAGACTGACATAGAACTAAATACAAAGTATGTAATTGTAGATTACGAAGTGAAGTGACAATCTTGTTACAAAGATGATCTCAGAGGGCATTATCAACACTTGTCTGGTATGAACATCAGGTTTCTGACAGAAATCATGTAATTGTGACATGTAATTGTGACAATTCCTGGACAAAACAAAACAAAAGTGTATGCAACATTTACCTGAAAGTAATCTAACAGAGAATCCTCTATCTGTCACAGACTGATCACTCCTCCATAACAACAAAGCATCCTGTCCAGGTGTGGTGTAAGAACCTGACACTTCACTGCCAGAAAACCGATACAACAGCATCACAGTTTCACCTTCTGTCCCAGTATATCCAATTTCCAGCCAATCATAGTTGGTCTCCGTTTCAAATGCATCAATCACGATGAGAATCTCCTGGGCAGGACTCTCTGTCCTTGCTTTCCATTTACAGAAGTCGTTGTTATTGTAGTGTTCAGGATAGTTCGGTGATTGTATTAATTCTTGACCATCTTCTGAGATGAACAATTCATCTCCACATGCCGGATCTGCAAAATATTTAAAAAAAATTAAAGGCCAAATGGTCCTAAAGGTCCTAAACTAAATAGATTCAATTTATAATTGACTAATAAAAGTATATGTATAGACTGACTTAATGTATGTTGCATTTTGTGCTAAATACGATTAACATTGATACTAATTGTATCTAATAATATAGTTTCATCTATTTCTGATAGTCACCTGTTTCATAAATTTCACTTAAAACCAGATGAAAACCAGATGCTGTAATGGAGTAATCTGAAGTGAAGGTGATCCAGATGTCATCGTCAGATGACTGCAATGCATCCTGGTCTTGACTTCCGGATATACGTAATACACTAGTGGTTAAGTCGTGATAATTATGACTGTTGCCAATCTCCAACCAATCGTGACAGTATTCTGTCTCAAATGCAATAAACGTAACATTGATTCTCAAACCACTCTGAGTGTCCACCAGCCACAGGCAATCCATGTCGTTTTCATAGTCAGCAGGATAATTTGGAGAATAAACAGTCACATAGCCACCACTTGGGATTGTGATGTTTTCTCGGCAGCCAGTCTCTGGTAATGCAGGTTCGGTTGGTATTGGTTTCTCAGTGGGCACCTCTGCTCAGAGTGAAATAAAAGACGTAGCAGACAATAGTGATAATATGCAGATAAATGTTATACATTCAATTACATAGCATAGCAAATATCTATACTAGGCAAATTTAAATTTTAAAGATTTTGTTTAGTTTGATACAAGTTTTGTTATATTGTAAATATGGAGCAAGATTCACAAGCATTTGGTGCTAATTTTACGCTACTTAAGCTACTTAACTAATCAAATATATGACATTTGCAAGTCTATATGAATAAAAATTATGATGACCAAATAGACCATATTGTGTTATGCGTGAAATTGAATGTAAAAACAGGACTAACCAAGGTTGCAGTCGCTTCAAAACATTGTGTGGGATTCAACAAACACAAAACTAGTTTTGAGGGATTTCCACACTTAATATTGTGCTATACACATTTGACAATGCACATTTTTTATGGAGTAAAATTTTGTCAACCCCATATTCCTCTCTGAAAGATCATCATTTTGACAAGTTCAAAATTAAATCATAACATTTTTGTTGCAAACGTTCTGAACAGCGTATTTCACACATTACACGAGATCTCAAAGTGAATCGCAAAATCACCAATTAAAAGAATTAAGAATGCATGCCTACCTTGGAATGTGACTTCAACATCTAGCATGAATCCCCTTCTGGTAAAAGTACTGTCACTGGTGAATTTAACCCAGATCTCATTAGATTCAGACTGCCAGTATAGCCATGGTCTGAATACACCCGACATGTGATGAACACGACTGTCACTGACACCATTGTCAGAACCATGACCAATGTCCACCCAGTCATAAAGGTATTCAGTTTTCATGTCTCTCAGATGAACAAGGAATGTATTGCCTTCTGATGTGTCTAAGTACCATTCACAGTACTAGGATAAATTATAATCCATATAGTGCACTAATAAAATTTGTGGTTTTACTGTTTATTATTACATCACACTACTTAGCAATACTGCAAGAAGACAGTATGGAGATCTTATCGACTGAGCCTTATATCATTAGACATTTTTTCAAGCTTGTGCATAATTTAGTGAGGAATAACAGCAAAAACATTT